TCTCAGAGACAGTCCCTGTGTCTCATTTCAAATGTCAATCCACCATAGTCTCAACATACGTCCACACAAAAATCACCACAATGATGTAATTCCCAATTGTAACTTCAAAAAAGGCAACTATGATCTTATACACAACGATCTCTCATCCCTTGATTGGCAATCTCTATTCACTGGATGCAATACTGTTGAAGACCATTACAACATATTTTTACTTGAAGTCAAAAGAGTCATCAAACTATATGTACCAACAACAACTCCCAAAACAAAACAAAAAAGCAGATTACCCATATCAATAAGGAAACTTCAATCCAAAAAGAGATCACTCTGGCGGAAAAACAAATCTGGTCACGTTGCCAATTTCAAAAACCGATACAAAAATTTATGCCACCAGATAAAGACCGAATGCACCAATTATCACATTAAACAAGAGGAAAACCTTCTAAGCACCAATTCCACCCGTGCTTTTTACAATTTTGTAAACAACAAACTAAAAGACTCAAGGTCCATCCCTCCCTTGATAGGACCTGATGGTAAAGACTGCAACGACGACACCATTAAAGCCAACATCTTTAACACATTCTTCGGCTCAGTATTTGTAAACAGCAATGGATCATGCCCAGTATTTCCTAGCCGTACCACAGATAACAACAATGATCTAATACATATCGATTTCACAGAAGACAATGTTGAAAAAGCACTACGCAACCTAAAACCATCTCTATCTATTGGACCGGATGGAATATGTGCCTACTTCTTAAGAAAGCTATCCACTGCCATAGCTAAACCTCTAAGCATAATCTTTGAAAAATCTTTCAGAACCAGCTCCTTGCCTAACCTATGGTCACAAGCCACAGTCATCCCCATCTTCAAAAAGGGAGACCCAAGCCTAGTTGAAAATTACAGGCCAATCTCCTTATGCTGCGTCACCTGTAAAGTCATGGAATCAATTATTAACCAATCCATCATCCTTCACTTAGAGACAAATAACCTACTCTCCAATAAACAATTTGGTTTCAGAAAAAAACTATCCTGTAATCTGCAACTCTTACACTGCAAAAACATATGGACGACACAACTCGACCAGGGCAAAGCAATAGACGCAATCTACATAGACTTCTGTAAAGCCTTTGATTCAGTGGTACACGACAAACTACTCCTAAAAATAAAATCCTATGGTATCTCTGGACAACTGAATAACTGGATAGAAGCATTCCTGTCAAACAGACAACAAATGGTCAAAATCGGGAGCGTACTATCAAATCCAGTACCTGTCAATAGTGGTGTTCCCCAAGGCAGTGTTCTAGGACCAACTCTCTTCATACTCTACATAAACGACCTCTGTGATCATATTAAGAGCAATTGCGTTCTCTTCGCTGATGATGTAAAGCTGTTCAATACCACAGACAATACTGCTACCCTACAAAAAGATCTTGACTATGTATC